GTTTCACTTATTGCTGAGGAGAATTTGAAGTTTGGTCCAATTATTCCCAGACCGACTCCTTCCGTTAGCTTCAAACCATCTGTGTACCACAATGATGCGTTGTTCGCTTGCGATAGCTATGCGTTCTTTCATGATTGGCGTTCTTTTTGCAACCAATTCATATGGAATATAGAGGTTTTAGTGATGTTATCATATGATCTGTTGGTTTACTTTGGCACTCGAGCTTTATAGATTGGAGGATGCGCAAGTGGCAATTATTGCCTCTTTTTTCACATATAGGTGAAGAGGAGGCACGTTCAGCAGTTGTCTAAGGCTGCGGTGGGGCAGGTTGACAGAACCCCTGGTATTCTCAGACAGATTACCCTTTGTACTTTACGTAAACTGTTCTGTGCAGTAATTTGTTCAGTCTTCGGCCACCATACCAACGAGGCGTAGGTGAAAATGGGTCTGCCAACCGTTTGGTAAATCCAATATACCATTTTTGGTCTTGTGCCCCATGTTTTCCCCACTAATTTGCGGCATGTCCAAATGGCCGCCGTAGCTCGTGATTTTGTTTCGTTCAGATGGTTTTTCCAAGTAAGTTTGCGATCCAGGGTGACCCCTAAATACTTAACTTTATCCGAGACAGAGATTGAGTGCAGTTTAGAGTGGGGGCTCGCAGATCCAGCTTCCTTCTGTTAGTAAACGGAACTAAGGTTGTTTTGCTGGGATTTATAGAAAGTCTTTCCTCGCTCCAGTTTTTGATTATATTCGAGGCTTTGCATCCGGCCTGTTATTATGCCTTCATGCTTGCATCCGATTCTTACCGCCAGATCATCTGCGTAGTCTAGAAGGATAAAGAATACGCTGTGACTAGAGTCCCGACTCGGGATCCATACCCAGTCCCGAATGACGTCATCAGTAGTTTTGTCGGGACTGGTGTTCCGCCCCGACTCGGGACCCAGTTTCGGTCCCGAATTATAACACCTATTTTAAGGAGGAAATTTTAACTATATCCTATTCACAATCCGTAGTCCAAAGGTAAAGGTAAATTTAGCATCTTTCCCTATCAAATAGCACTGAAAGGTGATAAATTTTACCTTTACCTTTGGACATCGGATTGTAAACAGATAATATAAACCAAGATCAAGTAGATGTAATTGAGCTTGGCGGTGAATATTTTACTGTGCACACCGGAGAAACTTCAAATTTTGCTAACACGGATAACCCAAAGAGGTGGGTAGAGCAAAAGGTTCTGTTCTTACCACAATCGGTGTTAAGAAAAAACGAAGTTATGGCCTTTTTTAACTTGGAAATAAGAACCAAACAAGAAAAAATGTTATCTTGGATTTCAAGAGAAGAAGAAGCAGCATATTATGCTTTTCAAACTGGTGAAAACATTGACGATTCCCATAAGGCGGTTACACACGGACGTGGATGTCTGAAAACATGTACGCACATACATGAACACGCAAACAAAAACATCAATGTGTATGCAAAATATCGTCGCGTTTTTGAATGTGGAATTTTTTATGCACACTCGGAATACTGTAGCAAGAATAGCAAGACTGCAGTTTTGTGCGAGCGTCTGTACAAAGGCGCCATGCACGTTGTTGTTTGCACGTTGATGTATGCACGTATATGTATTAAGACATCCACGTCCGTGTGTAACCGCCCATATAGAAAATAATCCAGAGAAAGTGTCGGACGTCGTTTTGCATCCCGACGTTGACTTTTCCTTAATTCGGCAATTTTTGCATAAAACGGCTGGTATATTTGACAAAAAAAGTTGTTCAAATCAAAAAGGACGCTGATACTGCTGATAGATAGGTATCTGTGCGAAATGTGTGGAATTGTAACATTTTCAATTTCTTGGCTAATAAGCTACCTTGTTTTGCTTTAGTAGATATGATTCCATATAGAACTACAATGAAATAAATGAATAAACAACTATCTTTTTTGTGCCCAGATTTTGTTACCTTGATTACTGCCTTCTACTGAAAGTTTTTTTTGTGCAGGTTTGCAAGTTTTGATTGATCTAGGAAGGTTTGATTCAGTACGGCAGGGCCCGCTGTTGTTGATTAAAATCTTAGGAAAAGGAGGTAGTACCATCATCATCTCTGTTTGCAAATCCAATCAGTAATCTGAGGTTATGATAATAATTGTTGTTTAATCTTTGACTTTTCATTTCCATCATGTCATTGAACAGCTGTTTTGTCTAGGCGTTTTCTTTAGACCTGTTCTACCTTTTGATATATGTTCTATAGGCACTTTTCAACATTCACCAGTCATTTTTTACACAACCGATTCTCAGTTCGTACTTTTGGGGTGAAACTGAACACGTCCTTTTCTATAATTTTCTTCAATGTCAAAATTAGAAGTTTGACAGATGAAAGTCTTCTTCCGAAATCTAAATTCGAAATGAAGAATTTGCTCTTTTGATCTGCGACCTTACGCTGAGTAGTCGTCCGGTTTCGGGCCTCGGCCCTAATTATTTTTGGGGCGAGACTTTTTGGAATTTTGTGCCAGGGAGCTCAAGTAGACTAATTTCTTGCTGATAATTGTCTAGAGTCGTCCCTTGGTCATTTTTGGATTCTGTTTCGGTAAGTTTGAGATTTTCTTCAGGAAATATAAACCTACAACACGTGTTCCATTTTTTTTTAATAGGACTGTTCCGAGCAGCATTTGGAAGTTTAAGACTTCACCTTTGGTCTAGAGTATCCCTCAATTTGAGGTAAGATTATTTCTAATATTTGGGGCTCGATTTGTTTTTTTATACGAACATCGTTATAGGGTCCTAGTCTCAGACTATAGTTGGACAGTTGCTAAGCTGTATTTACAGAGATTCTAGACTGGATCTAGATTGCTCTCAGTTGGGGCTTTGGTAGCCATTCTTCAGCAACTCTCTTGGTGCCACTCTGGCAGAACCACGTCGAGTTCTACGTTGAACGGATACAACGTGGATAGGACTCATGACTCACTTACCATACCTTAGCCTATCTATAGTGAGACCAAACCTGTAGATAATCTCACTTTGGAAACTTCTGGATTTTCACATACATTTCACTTGTATACATGTAAGTTGCACCTTTACTATTTAGGCAAATCTTATATAAATCATCTGACACCGAATAACGTCGGTAAGTGCCCCTTAAATAAAATTCTAGAATTTTACCCTGAGGTTGCCCTAACTATAACTTTCACCTTTCTTTGTTTAATTTGCCTGATGGTAAAGTGTAACCCATACTGAATTTTTCTTATCTCTCACAAGTGTAAATACCAAAAGGTTTTTATTCATGTTTATTTAAAATTCATATTTATATATGCATTATTTATATTCATTCTTTTGATAATCAAATATTTATAAATTGGTACAAGCCATAATGTATACACATTTTTAATAACCTCCTGGCTATCCCTATATTTTGTTATTATTTTTAATAAAGAAGCCAGATACATTATTGTACCTAATTAGTTGTTTTATTGATAAGCTCTCCAATTGCACAGGTTTTGTTTATAACATCATTAAGTTATCTTCCTAGTTAAGTCACAATTAACTTGGTGGCGCCCAAAGGTAAGATGTATACAAGGAACCCATAGACCCATGGCCTCCGAACTGAAGCTGACTAGCCGTAGCAGTATAATTAGGCAATTGCCAAAATAAGTACGTTATAGAATGTTATCCGAAAGAACGTAAGATTCTTGTTATACACCTCGATAAAATGTATAGCTTTTCCAGCATTTCCATTTGAAGTATAAATTCTTGAAAAAATTCCAAAAAGGCGATGGTACTGTTTAAAATGCTCACGCAAGAAGGTTTAAATTCTACTCTATCTTTTATAAACAAAAATTAGTGATTTTGAAAATAAAATATAGGTAGGTACGCATTTTGAGTTGAATAATATGACTTCACCTAATGAAGGAATTATTGCGATTCTTCTTATAATTTCGGGACCATATGCAAGTCCCGACAAAACTACTGATAGCTCATTTAATGACGTTATTCGGGACTAGACGTGGATCCCGAGTCGGGACTCTAGTCACAGCGTAAAGAATAACTCCAATCATTGAACTTAACATCACCGCTGAATTCATTGGAGACTGGACTAAGTAGACTATTCTCGCAATTTTCAGATATCTTTCAGAAATTATAGGCAATACTTTTTGATAGAAGATTTAAGCGTCATAGTCTGTTAGAGCCTCAATAATGCAAAATGGCAAAATGGCAAAATAAATATATCCTTAAAATATTTAATTTCAATGGAATAATTTTGATCACACATCAAGTAATAACGCACTTATCTCTCTAACTAAAAGCTTTGCACTAACATTAAAAGTCTTGCAAACTGTTTAAGTTTATCCCTAAAATATGGCCTAACCCGCATCTTTTAGGAAAATTAATAAGTTATAGCATAGTTTTTGTGGAGCCGTTAAATAGGAAAAGTTTGCCGTGTGGTAAACAATGCCGGCAGAAGTCAGCGTAAGGTTTTAGCTATAACAATTCATCCTTTTGACAGTAACAAATTATGTTCCATGAACCATTCAGATTTTTGTCACGAAGAGTATTGTAAGTTTTTAGTAATGTTTATTTAATTCAAAATAAATAAAAGCCAATTGCGTAAGGAAAAATACTCTCTCGATTTAATAGCACAATATTCGAACCACATCTACCTCCAACCGAAAAGGGTACTAGACTACCTGCGTCAAACCGACCCCTTCGAAAGCAAAACTCTCTCCCCGCCGCCTGCAATTGTTCTCTTACTGCCCATTTTATTGCACCCTTTGTTTGACATTCTTGGGCTTTCGGAACTGAACTTTTCTTTCCAAGGAGCCAACTTGTTCGTTATACAATATAAAGATTTCGTTCAATTAAATAAAATCTTACATTCGGCCATCCTAAACTTAGTGGTTGTCCTCAACCAACACAATATTTCTAAACACTAATTATTCTAGGTTTGATAAGCTAATACTATAAATCTAACCTTTTTTTTTTTACTACACAATAAAAAATTCTCATCACCATGGTTGCAATGGTTTTACAACTGGGGGCAATACATCTATCAATGGGACAACAGTCCCCACTTCACATACAGAGCGACTACTCATCTTTGGAGCGACAACTCAAGTCCATAGAGCTACAACTCCTCACGTATGGGCGACAACCCATTTGCACCTTCCCAGAGCGACAACTCTTCTTCAGGGAGCTACAACTCCCAACAAGTATGGGCGACAACCCGATTCTCGACTCTCAGAGCGACAACTCTATACCGGCTGAGCTACAACTCATTTTTATGGAGCTACAACTCCTTCCGGCTGGGCGGCAACCCAATCTTCATTTCACAGAGCGACAACTCTATACCGGTTGAGCTACAACTCATTTTTATGGAGCGACAACTCCTTCCGGCTGGGCGGCAACCCATTTTTTAAACTAACTTACATAAACATACTTAGGAGTAGAAGAAGAACGTCTTCTACTCTTTCACTAATCATATTGAACAGCTACCCAATGCTTCATCAAATCCGTAGCCACGGTAGTTCGCCTTTTCCTACCACCTTCTCTGAGGTCTTCAACTTCATAGCGATCGTTAAATAGCTCCTTCGTAACTCTGAACGGGCCCTTGAATTTGGCGTTCAGTTTTCGGCTACTTCCGGTACTCGGATCGCTAGATATCTTTATCAAGACCAATTCTCCAACTTTATACTTTTTCACACTTTTCCTAGTTTCATCATACCTCTTTTTCTGTTTTCTTTGATCAATCGTTATGTGATCTTTGACTTTTTCCCTTAATTCTTCAAGGTCTAGTCGGTGAAACTCATTTGCGATCGAATTTAGCAACGACGCTTCCACTGTACTCTTGGGCTGGTAACCAAATAGAAGTTTTGCGGGAGTCGTATTAATCCCTTTATTATGCGCACTATTCATGGCGCTCTGGATTCGTTTTACGTGCGTATCCCATAAATCACTGCTAGTTTCCATACTCATCGTAGCCAACATATTCAAGATGGTTCTATTGTATCTCTCGCACTGTCCATTTGCTCTAGGACACGCTACAGCATTCAACACGTGCTTGATACCATAGTTTTCGCAAAACAACTTGAACGTCTTGGATGTAAACGCGCTCCCTCTATCACTTATTATGCGACTTGGAGAACCAAATATACACATAATATTTTCCAAACTTCTCACAACGAATTTCACCTTTGTTGATTTTACTGGTTCCACAATGGCGTATTTCGTGAACCCATCCACGAAAACTGCCAAGTATTTGTTACCTTTGACGCTTGTTTCGAAAGGACCCAGATGGTCAACATGTATGGTGTGAAAGGGCACCGGTATCTTCTCTATGGGGTGCAATCGTCCTTGATTTTTATTACTAGTGTTTTTATAATATGAACAGTTTAGGCACGCTCGAACATATTTGGTAACAAACCGACGCATTTTTGGGAACCAATAATTTTCTTTTATCCTTCGGACAGTCTGATCGATTCCACCATGTCCGTTCTTGTCATGACACAGTATACAGATTTGCCAGCGCGCTGTCTTAGGTACTACCCATAGTTTTTCACCCGTAGGAAGTTTGCGGAAGACTATACCATCCTTCAGTTCATACTCTTCAAAATATTTCTTATTGGCTTTGTTTTTCAATCCAGATCTTAGTATTTTCCAAATTCTATCAACTTGTTCGTCTTGTAACTGAGCGCTTACAATCCAGTCACCTTCCGTTATATCCACGATATTAACTTCCATATTTACGTATCTACTCAAGGCATCTGCATGACTCATTTGGGCTCCTTGTCTATATCTGATTTCAAAATCGTAATCCTGAACTTCTAACCACCATCTAGCAACCCTGGGAATCAAGTCCCTTTTGGAGAGTGCTGTTCTCAAGGCATTGCAATCCGTGATGACTGTGAAGTGGAGTCCTACAAGATAAGTTCTAAAATGTTTTAGGGCATAGACGACAGCCATTGTCTCCAACTCATATGAATGGTAGTGCTTCTGATCTATAGTCGTTTGGCGACTGTAGTAAGCAACTACGTGAGCGATTCCATTTTTTATCTGCATTAGTACTGCACCGAATCCGTCAGAACTAGCGTCAGTATGAAGTTCTGTCAACAATTCTGGATCAAAGATATTTAATATGGGTCTGGATACTAGCATATTTTTTATGGCATCGAAAGCATTTTGTTGTTGCTCTCCCCAATGCCAGGCTGCATCTTTTCTTGTGAGCATCGTGAGAGGTTGTGATACCTTTGCGAAATCCTTACAAAATTTTCGGAAATATCCTGCTAGTCCTATAAACTGCCGAACTTGTTTCACGTTTTGAGCTGGTTGAATTCTTAACACAGCTTCGATTTTTTCTCGCCCAGGTCGCACACCTTCTTCTGATATTTCTCGACCTAGGTAACTTATCGCAGTTTGGAAGAACTTGCATTTTTTCAGTTTGAGAGTCAAATTTCCCCGTCTTAGTGCTTCCAACACCTGTTTTAGATTGGCTAATCCTTCTTCAACTGTTTTTGAGGGAATTATTATATCGTCTATATACGGAAATGCTACTGAGTTTTTAAGTTTGCCAAGTACATTATTCATCAACTTTTGAAAAATTGCTGCTGAATTACAAAGCCCGAATGGCATTCTCAAAAATTCGTAATGAGAATCGGGAGTTATGAAGGCCGTTTTTGCAATGGAGCCTTCATCTACGGGGACTTGATAATATCCTGATGCCAAATCTAGTGCCGTAAAATATTTGTTGTTTCCTAGCTTGTCTATTTGCTCGTCAATGACTGGCAGTGGATACTTCATTTTAATTGTCACTGCATTTAGTTTGCGGTAGTCCACTACCATACGATAATCTTCAGTTTTCTTTTTCACTAAGAGCACAGGGCTCGCATATGGTGAATCAGATTCTCTGATTATGTCATTTTGCAACAATTCTTCACAAATTTCTTGAAGCATTTTCTTTTCCGACACTGACATTCGATATGGGTTGTAAACAATTGGGTCCTCCGTTAAGCAATTAATCACCATTTTTGCAGAATCTGTTTTACCTAATGTCGCCATAGAAGTGGTTATTCTGTCGTTATATTCTTCGAGCAGCATCTGACATTTGTTTTTATCCTTTTTCGAGATACTACCAATCGTAATTATATCATTTTTCCCAGTTACTTCACAACAGGTCAATTCTGAGTATAACTTAAGTTCTGTTAATTCTTTGATGATCATGGTTTGGCCAAGTTTATACCAGAGAATATTGGGCAATTGCAGGAAATCACAACCAATGATACAATGATGGTTCATTTGGTGATTTTCCACAACTATAGCTTTCAATTGAGCAGTGGCTTCTCCTAATTTTATTTTTATATGTGTCATCCCAGCACTAAGCACTCGTTCTCCAGCGAACCCTTTTAACACCGGATTATGGGAAGTACTATCGAGAGGTAAGCCCAGCTTATTTACTACGTCTCGACGTATTAAAGAACATATGCTGCCAGTATCAAGCAAACATTTGAATTTTTGACCATCAATAAAAATAGGCATCACATAAGGATTCTGTACGGCGCCTCTCTCAACTTCATTTATAGACTTATTTCTGGAGCTGGTTGATTTTGTTTGACAATCTGCTTGCTTGTGTCCAATTCTCTTACACAGATAACATTTTATTAGAGGTTTAGGGCAGTTTTTGACATAATGATCTCCTTTGCAATTGAAACAATTCAATTTCGATTGATTCCCAGATAGTTGGGCACTTGATTGAACATGTTTCGAGGAGCCTGGTTGCGGATTAGTTATTTTAACTTTTGACGAATTCGACGTACTGTTTCTTAATGTACTTAAAAACGAATACAGCTCCGATGTTGTTGTAAATCTAGACGATCTAGCTGCCTGTGTAATATTCTCATTAGCTACTCCGCTTATAACTGCGTCTACCAAATATTCTTGCGGAATATGTATTTGCAATGCCTTCAGTTTATTTAATTTCACAAGACAGTACTCACCCATATCTTGTCCGGGCTTAGCTTCATAAGTTGCGGCCTCCTTTAAAAGGACTCCGAAAGCTAGTGGGCGCTTAAATTGTTTAATTAGCTTACCCTTCATGCATTCCCAACTCCATGATAGTTTATTTTCAGTATCATACCAGTATCTAGCCATGCCCTCTAACCGACTTGCCACTAGCTTAGTAACGGTTAGGTCACTCCACTCATATCGCTCCGCTAAATCATCCACCTTTTTCACCCACTTTTCTACACTTAACCCATCCTGATTTTGGGGATCAAAAGGGGGAATGGCTTCTCTGTCAAAGCTAGTCACGCTCACATCATTGTTCATTTTCACAACGCGTTCTAACTTTTCTAAACGTCTTAGCTTACTTTTTACGCGCTCGACACTCGACGAACTCGAGGAACTGCTCGATGAACTCGAGGAACTACTCGACGAACTATTCCTGCGCTTTCGCTTTCGCTCCGTTCGCGACTTCCGCGAACGATCACAAGGCTCGTCCTTGGACTTGCGATGTTTGGATCGGCCCATTGTTTTTCACGCTCGCGCTCACAATTTCGCGAAAAAATCCTCCGAACGCGACACGTGAAGGGGTAATCTCACTTCTGATTTGTAAGTTTTTAGTAATGTTTATTTAATTCAAAATAAATAAAAGCCAATTGCGTAAGGAAAAATACTCTCTCGATTTAATAGCACAATATTCGAACCACATCTACCTCCAACCGAAAAGGGTACTAGACTACCTGCGTCAAACCGACCCCTTCGAAAGCAAAACTCTCTCCCCGCCGCCTGCAATTGTTCTCTTACTGCCCATTTTATTGCACCCTTTGTTTGACATTCTTGGGCTTTCGGAACTGAACTTTTCTTTCCAAGGAGCCAACTTGTTCGTTATACAATATAAAGATTTCGTTCAATTAAATAAAATCTTACAGTATTAATTAAAGTTTGAATTTATTTGACCCCGCATGTGAGAAAAAATAAATTATTACGTGCGTTTCAAGCCCTACCTAGTAGTAACTGATATTTTTCCAAGCATAAATTACGACGATAGGAATAGCCTCTCATGAACAAAAAAAAAAACATATTGAAAAGATTCTGGCATTTTTTGCCTCGACCAAATATTTGGATGCTGATGTTTAGGAAAGTTAATAAAAGCCGGTAATTTAGCAGCGAGGGGTGCTTGAAATTTATTAAAGAAGCAAATTGAAAATAAATCAATAAATGCGTTTTTACGCAAACGATCACTTTCATTCTTTTTATTAAATGTGATTATTTCTGCATATTAGTTCAATGGCAAAAAGTAATCTGGTTCTAGTTTGAATGGGCACTTTCACTTATTTCTGAAATTTTCATAATTGGATAAATCAA